ACCCTGTAAATTGTATTACATTTTGTTGAATTCATTTTTAGTTTACCTATGCTGTTGCAAACCACATACCTAAGCTTTATTATATCACCCTTTTCCTTAATGTGTTTATACGAACATCAAAACCAACCTTCTCTGCATATCTTTTTATAAAAATTAACTCCCTCATCAACATCTTTGAACCTTAGTAAGTTTAAACTCTTTAGGAACATCTCGTCTGATATTATGCAGAGGCTCTGACATATAAAAATCTGATACACAACTTGTACCCATCATACTGCTTGAATTTGCATCATTAGAAGTACAACATTCACCTGTAAAATCAATGAATAATCACATGTGATTTAAAATGATTTTCTTATATAATCATATGTGTTTATAACAGATAAGTGAACATAGATAAACTAACAATCACATATGATTAAGAATATAATAAACTAACAATCAAATAAGACTAACACTATAATAATAAACAAGTTTAATAAAGAACTACTGAATAATCACATTAAAATAAAATTGAATATACATCAATGTATGAAATGTAAAATCACATGTGATTAAGGATATATTTATTAACAAAATAAAATAACTGATCACATGTGATTAATAATGAATTCATTGTATATTCATATGTGATTATAGTAAAAATTGAACATAAATAAAATAAATAGCTGTAAATATATATTAAAATATGAAAAAAATGAATACTTGCATATAATTAACAAAATATTAATCACATGTACTAAAAAATTACTGAATAATCACGTAATATTATAAAAACATATTCAATTCTAAATACATCAATAATTAAATTTACTTGAAAAACTGCAAATTTGGTTTTGGTGACTTCATTGTTCAACATCTTCATCAACAACATAAATACTCTCGACAAAAATACTAATTTGATCTTCATTTATAAATAAAATCACATTATCACTTGTAAAAGACATTATTAAACAACAGAACCTGTCATTAACAACATAAACATTTATTATTAAAACAAATATTAATAATATATGATATAAAACACATACAATTTGCATTGAGTATTATACTTTAAATAACATATATCAATCACATTTGTTTCTTTAATAGCAAATCATAAATTCTTAATAAAAGAACTTAACCACATGTGATTCAAGTAATACAATTTTAAACATATACTAATAAAATGTTTTCTAAATAATTAGGGTTTCCTGCAAACAGAAATCATGATTATTAACTTCATCCTCAACAATATAGAACATAAATACAACAACAAATGCAATAATCGACATTAAATGATCAACATAAGGTACACCATATTAAACATAACTCCTTTCAAACTCAAAAATTTCAATTTATACTTCAAACTTCAAAATTTCGATTTATAATACATAAAATACAGTAACAAATGCAATAATCGACGTTAAATGACAAACATAAGGTACAATATATTAAACCTAACTTTTTTGATGCAGTTATTATGAAGAATGGATGGTAAATTTAGTTATAATGCAAGAATCGACGATAAGTGATCAAAATAAGTTCTGGAAAGTGATGATCTTTACTTTTTCGATAAAGAATATGTTAAACCTAACTTATTTCAAACCCAAAACGTTAAATAACTCATAATATTACTAGAAAAGATGAAATAAATAAAAATGCCAATGTTTAATCATCAAAAACCGTTATGCAAAACGAATATTTTTACATTTTGAAGGAACCAATCGTTAAACCTAAAATTCTTGGATGATGACACAATTTCTTTTTCTATAACAATCGATGAACAACAAACATAGAATTTTGGTAAAAAAAATCCTCTAAGTCACTGATATATAGGATGAATTGCGAAAAAATTGAATTGAATTGAATCACTCTGAATTCAAATGATACTCTTGAGCTTCCATCAAACATGTAAAGGAGTCAGATGTTTATAACATACAAAGTTACGAAAACACCCCTCAACATATAAACACATGTGTTTTTTAATGTGAGGCAAAATATGTTCTCATTTGAACTCACACACACACACACACACACATATATATATATATATATATATATATATATATGTGTGTGTGTGTGTGTGTGTGTGTGTATGTGTGTGTTGTGTGTTTCTTGGTTTATATCTTTATTAAGATTTCTTCATAAATCCTCTCGGATAGGTGTTAAGCATATGTTTATTGCCACATCAGCTGTTGACATTTCATTTATATTTGAGAGTTTTTGTAATGTTATTTTTAAAATAAATAACACCACTAATTTTTGTGGTTTACAAAAAGTGCAAAAGTTTTGTTTGAAGTTGTATTTTGTTGACAATTGAAAAGGTAGGAATAACCCCCTCCATTTCAAAATTATTGTCTATAGAAAAAAAAACACATAGATCAAGTAAACATTAATTATCACTAATTTTATTAAATAAAATGACAATTGTATATTTTTGTTGCATTTAATCCCATTCTTTTGTTGCATTTAATTCTATTCTTTTGCTGCATTTAATTTCATGGTAAGTTAACTAATAATGAAGGGTATTTCGGTAAAAAAAAGATATTTATTTTTCGAAGTATGTTATTATTTGAATCAAACCAAAAAAGAAACACAGACTATTAATATGAGACGGAGAGAATATTAAATTTCTCAAACAAATTTCTTGTTCAGTTAGTAAATTGTGTGTGGTTAAATTGCTAACTAAAGTTGATCCTAGTTTAAAGGGAAACTTCCATGCAAATAGTTCCTTTATTTTTAGCAATATTTCTACTATACACACACCACTCTACACACCACTCTAACACTATTCTACCATATTACACTCAATTTTGATGCTATAATTTTATCATTATTATCATATGATTTAGCATAATTATTATATTCAATAACAATTATCTTACAAACCTAATTATTTAATAAAATTTATTATTTAATTACATTATTATTATTACTTTTATTAATTTTATTATTTAATATTTATATTTTTCTTACCAATTAATAATTATATTTATTTTTTTCTATTTAATTATTTTATTTCAAACTTTTTTTTTCAAAAATAAGTTAAAAAGAACAAATATATAAAATTATTATACTTTACAAACTATATATACAACGTTAAGGCATTAAATAATCATATAGTAAATTAGAAAATGCATCGTAATTTATTTTTTTATTTATTGAAAAATACTCAAAAAAATTATGGGTTTATTTTATGATTTTGTAATTTATATATAATTATAATCTGATTAAATTAAATTAATTAAAAAAAAACTAATTAAATATTTTACTGACAATAATGCCGAATTAGGAGGCATCGGATACATCAAATAATTATTCATGTAAAAATTAACTATTAGAAATTATACATCTTCGTGGCTTCGCCGGACCACTGAAACAACCAAGCCGCTGTCGCTGAACCACAAACTTACCGGACCATCTTTCATTTTAATTTATTTTTAGGTTTTAGTTTTATGATTAACAAAATAATATTATTTTCTAATAATAAAAAATATATTAATTTTACTTTATAGTATTATTCATAACAATTGTAATAGAAGTTAAATAATATTGTTATATGATTTATCCTATCCGAGTACTCTCCCAATATTCCTTGAGTAATTCGAGTACTACTCGTTACTCTCTCATTTGCTGAACAAGTATCGATTAACGAGTTCTGTAACCATGATATTAACTACAAAAGAAATATGTGTTTGATTTTAATAAAATAAATATTTCTAACAAAAGATTATAAATTAACAAAACTAAATAAATCACATCTATGAAACATATGATAGATTATGGGTAAAACAAAAAACTTAAAACCCTTAAGTTTGAATGCAACCTAGATAGAATTTATATTTTCTCTATTGAACCTATAACTAAAAACATTAAATAAAAACACTAAGACCATTAGGTTATTTTTGAAAATTACTAATTAGGGTTTAGGATTACATACCTTAAATGTTATATTAGTAAATACCAATGATTCTTTATTGTAGATCTCTTAAAAGCAAGCATCACAAGTGTCGTGCTTCTAATAATTCACACCCAAGCTAGTAAGAAGATGATTTAAGAGAGAGAGAGAGAAAGAGAGAGAGAGAGAGGAGAGAGGAGAGTAATAATTTTTATCGAAGCCTTAGGGAATAAAGGAGTGGATGAAATATGGAGCTAGGATGACCTTATATAGTTTAGGAATCTTGGGGCCAAATCTAAGGTTTAAGGGATAAACCCTAGATTGATTTACTTGGTGAGCAAGCAGTTCAATCTCCTTATCCAATGAGCCTTGGACGAAATCTTCTACGCTTACCTTAGAGGATTTTCGTCCACCTCATCCCATGAGGTTCTAGAACCTTCATTCTTCAACTTTCAATAAATAACTAGAAAGTCCTTATCATTTTAATTAATTCAATTAATTTCAAAATTAATTCTAATTAATTTCAAAATTAATTCTAATTAATTTCTGATTAATTACTTTTTCTAATCAATATATTATTTCCATAATATACTAATAAACTATTTATTTCAATTTGTTAACACATAATAAATTAATCTCTCTCTCTCTCTCTCTCTCTCTCTCTCTCTCTCTCTCTCTCTCTCTCTCTCTCTCTCTCTCTCTCTCTCTCTCTCTCTCTCTCAAAGTCACCATTTACAGTTGTTAGGTTTGGGACAACCTAAAAGGACTGTGTTATTATCAACCTAAAAGAATAATAACACAGTCTTTTTAGGTTGTCCTAATAGCAACACCGGAAAAGAAAGAGAAAATAGTTCATGAAAGCTTGCAAAAGAATTTGTAACCCTATTACACTTTGGTTTTTGGAGACTTGCGTTTGAGGGTAATAAAGTTGTCGGGAATATGTAGGTTGACGTGTAAAACTTGATAACTCTCGTGCTTTGTTTTGTTCCGATAGCTATGTCTGCCACTCTGAGGCGAAGAGTTGCAATGAGGGAAGAGCTCACGTGCTTAAGCTTGTCCTTCTTTGTGCAGTTAAATTTTGTAAAGGTTGTTTTGTATTTTATAGACAAGCGTATTAGATGAAGGGGAAAGATATAATTAAAGAGAGAACTTTAACATTATCATTTTACAAACCTAATATCTGAGATACAAAGAAGCTTCTATATATATAGAAACTTCCAAACATAGTTGACATATATGCCAACAGCTGATGCATATAATGATCATGTTCTTAATTAGCACACATATGCAACATGATTTATTAGAAACTCGAACTCATTATCAAACAAAACATAAAATGTAATTTGATCACACCAGATAGATTTATTACGTTTTCTTCTCGTATTTGGCTCAAATATTTTCTTCACTTATTTTGGTTAACCTGACCTTCAACCCATGCTTCATCATAAGTACCATGGAAGCGCTAGGAATAACCGGGTGACCTTCTACCAGCTCAATGTGATAATGATAAATGATTGTAGATGCCGCTATCTTTAGTTGAGTGAAACTCATGTCCTTACCTAAGCATGTCCTCGGTCCACCACCAAATGCCACGAACTTGTTAGATGGCTCATGTTTGATACCTCCTTTCTCTGAAATCCATCTTTCAGGCTTGAATTCCATGCAATCCTTACCCCATATCTTTTCCATCCTTCCCATTCCATAGTAATATAGAATAATCCTGGTGTTTTGAGTAACTTGGTGGCCACTTGGAAGGATTTCTGGCTGCAATGGAATTTTGTGGTTAAAAGGAATAGCAGGGTAAAGCCTTAAGGCTTCGCATAGAGCCCCATGAAGATAAACCAGTTTTCCTACCTCTTTGGAATTCCAGTTCTTGTGATCATCTACTTTCCTCTCCAGAAACGTGTGAATCTCCTCTCGGATCTTGTCCTCTACGATTGGATTTTTTGCAACGAGATAGAAAAACCATGAGAGAGTTGTGCTAGTTGTATCTCTCCCTGCACCCATTAGGGTCACTATGGTATCCCTTACAAAGTTTTTGGGATATCCAAAATCGCCGCTTTGGCTTTTGAACTCTGTTACCAGGGATGTCACTAATCCAAAACTTTTATGAACATGTTCACTTTCCATGTTACCGGACTCGTGTTGTATTCTAGCTAAGCACTTGTCTACAAAGTGATCAACTGCATTGTATGCGTCACTCAGCTTCTTCTCTTTCCCCATTCTCAGTAGTCGTTGTAGTTTCCAAAAGATGGGAGGCAGAAGATGCCTGTACAACATGCCTTCTGTAATATCTACCCAGGCTTTCTCACACCGAATGTAAGGAAAACTGAGTGACAAGCTTTGCGGGTCATATTCTAAGAGCACCTTGCATATAGTGTCAAAAGTGAATCTTTGAAATATGTCCTGCAAATCGATCTCCATGTCCGTTTTGGATATAGACTCTAATACTGGCAAAAGCCCAGTTTCCACCTTCTTCCAGACAGCGGCTTCAAAAACACTTTGAAAGTTGGGATGTCTAAAGAGAGACATGATGGTTTTGCGGTGAATTTCCCATAAACGTCCGTCAATATTAACGATTCCATCTCCAAAAATGTCGAACAATTTACGGTAATTTTGCCCTTTTGGATAATTAGGAAAGTTCTTGCTCAAAACATGGTGGATGTCTAATGGGTCTGTGGTAAGGAGCATATCCATTTTGGCAAACCAAGGCCCTCTCAACATGAAAGTACCGCCACTACGATTAAGATATATGGCCAAAAAATCATGGAGTCGGTGCAAGTTTGTGAGAATTTCAGAAAACAAACCAAGAGGCAGCCAATTTCTATCCTTGAGAGTTTTTAGGTTTTGAGGTTGGTAATGAAAAACAAGAAAAGAAAGGAAAATGATAATGATCAGATATTCAAGGAAAACCATATTGAATAAACACAAAGATGAACTTAGGTGATACGGCAATGACGTTAAGCAATACAGTGGTATATATAAAAGAAAAACACTCCATGCCGCATGTACCTACTAACATACACTATTAATTTTCAATAGACAAAACTATACAAATGCTACTCCTAGTTTACTAAAGTCACAAACTAAGTTTTTATTAAAACATTTTGACGAAACATGGTCCATGTCGTTTCCAAAATTCGTGTCAAAGGTTTTTTTTTTTTTTTTTTTTTTTTTTTTTTTTGTTTTGTTTTTGCTAAAGCTGTGAATTTTGTTAGTTAAGTCCTATCACATGCATTGAATGTGTGGGTAATTTGGTATTTTCAGGTTTAGCACCACATGAATTATTTATGTAATTTTCTCTCTCTCTCTCTCTCTCTATATATATATATATATATATATATATATATATATATATATATATATATATAAAGCTGAATAAATTAAACAAAAAACACTAACAAGATGCTAGTGAAAAAAAATACAAAGAGTTTAAAAGAAGGTTTTGAAGCCATAAATTCCAATCAATGTGGAGTTTATGTTTCTTGTGCACTACCCAACAATACGCGTACGAAACAATATCATCAAATATAGTATCCATCCTAGGCTTAATGCGATCGAAAATGAGTTTATTCCTGTACTTCCAAATCTTCTACCAAGTAGTAGAGAGAATAACATCCATGAGTAGCTTTCGGGTGGCAGCAGACGAAGCTGAAAAACGAAATCCTCTAACTCCATAGTTGTTTGGATCGAAGGGAACTCAAGATTACACCACTTCCAAACCTTAGCTAAAACATCTTTCAAGATATCACACTCCAAGAAGGTGTGATCACGATTTTCTAAATGATCCCCACAGATAGAATGAAGATAACTAGGAACATTAATACATCGAGCAATCAAGTTATCTTTAGTGGGGAGCCGATTAAGCATAAATCTCCAACGAAATATATTAATCTTTATATGAAGAAACGTATTCCAAGCTGTGTGTCTAGAACCATGAGGTAACATCAAATCATCAATAAGATGGCAGGTATCCTTAACTGTGAAATTAGCCCCATTGCCTAAATCCCAAATCCAATTGTTAGAACGGCTAAAAAACACGTTGCCCAACATCTTAATCAAAGTCGTGAATTAAGACATTTCAGGCCCTCTTATTGGTTGTCTCCTCCGACTCCAATGTCACGACTGATCCACTATTCGAACAACAATAAGGCAATCTTGATTAGAATCTAACGCCACAAGCCTGGAAAAAACTTGATCAAAAGTAACATCCCCAACCTAAATGTAACGCATGGTTCCTGGTATGCATTTAAATTAATTATCTATTCATTTTGGAAAGGCTACTCGACGAGTTGGTGGCTCTAACTCGTCGAGTAGAAGGCAGAATATGTGCGGGTTTTAAGTGAACTACTCGGCGAGTAGGACAGCCTGGATGTAAACCCTAATCTTTAGGGCTTGCACCCTATTTAAGCATCATATATGGCCTCCATCCCAACCTCTATCACTTTCAAACCCTAATCTCGAAACCCTAATCAACCTTGATTGATCTTGAGCTATTTCCTTGCCATTTTTGTGATTTAAATTAGCTACAAGAAGGAAGCAAAGGCTTGGATTTGCAGAAGGAAGGTTGAAGATCCAAATCTAAGGACTCATTTCTATCTTGATAGAGGTATACAGCTTATACCTTGGCTTCTATTCACTTAGATCTTCTTCTGAGCTTGTATGTTGTCATTTTTGGGCCATTTCCAAGGTTATTCCGAGATTTGAACTCTTAGGGGAAGAAAGGACTTCAGATCTGGGCACTCTTGAGCTTTAGAAGCTCAAAGTTGCCACATTTATTCAACCATGGCCCTATTCCATGACTTAGACCTTCATTTTAGTTTGTAATGGGTGTTATAGCTTCATAACACCATGCATGTACGTAAAGTTATCAACTTTACGTTTAATACTAGTTTAAGGAGTCCAGGTCTACAAGTTGGAAGCATTGGAATGGATTAGGATTGACAGGATGAATTTGTAATATGGAGGACTAGATGAGTTGTTCTTGGACTCGGTGAGTCGCGTCGCGAACCCCTAACCCTTTTCTGGTTTTGAGTGAAATTAATAAGTCTAGGAGATGACTTAGTGAGTTGAATGAGATTAGGACTTGGTGTTGGGTTATGAGCATTCTACCACTCCTAAGTGTACATGCAACCCTAAATACCTTGGATCTATGTTTTCTCTATTATACATGCAAATATGAACAACCAAGGTATTATCCTAATCTAGCATACAAAACTATCAATATAACAAGATAGAATACATACCTCTTTGATGTAGAATGTCTTCATGAAGCTTGAGTGCCTAGTGCCCCAAGTGTGACACCTCAAATGGTTCACACAACACCATAAGCACTTGGAATAACTTAGAGAGAAATTAGAACACTTCATGAAATCGTCTAGCCCTCATACACACACATAGTCGCGATTTCTTGAGCAATGGGTTGCTTTTATATGGTGGCTATTAGGGTTACACCATGTAACTCGTGACTTTACCCATTCCTTATGCTCCATGGATTTTAACCTCCATGGAGTATCCATGGGTCACCCCATGGACTTAGTCCAACATAAGGAATCTTGGATCACAAGCCCACATATATAAGAATGAATGATTTACACAATCAACCCATATATTTAATTAGTCTCCTTTTGATCACTTAATTAATTCCAAATTAATTCTTGATCAATACTAATTAAATAACCTTATTAATATATTAGAACTTATAATATATTAACAAACCTTAAGTGTTATTTCTCTCATTTTAGTCTATCCAAGTGCATGATGCCATGCAACCCAAATGGACCATGCCGGGTCGGATCAAGTTTTACCAATTATAGTTATGGACTTAGACATTAATCCAACAGTCTCCCACTTGGATAAGTCTAAAACTATTATTGCAAGTATGACTTCAAACCCCGACTAGCAATCGTAGCTCTCAAAAGCTTCTGTCGAACTCTGACCTTGTAGATGAACTCTGACCTTTGTCAATGACTTGTCCATTAGATAAGGGATCATATATTCCTCCATTCTAGATATCGTATGGACTGAGACATGGATTAAAATCATTCTCTCTGTCCATTTGTTGTTTCCTGATTTCCGATTTATGACGACTGACTAATTGAACAAATCAAATTAGTCCTGGCCCGGCCGAGCACTTCCATTTGTCATCATCAAATCATTGAGGGGCCCACAGATATCGCTTTTATCCCGAAGGTAAAAGGAATGGATAAACTTCGACTCATATGGCTTGTTCTACTACGTGTTGAATCATACACAAAGACACGTTTTATAGCACCGAGTTACCAAATGCTGTTTCGTGCAATCAATGTACAACCAACTCATAGTAACAACTCATATCTCTAGGTTTGAAGAATATAAGATATTATCGTCTCATGATCACTCGTGATAAAATCCATGAAGTGATTCCAATGAGCGCGGGTTGAATCCAATACTCAGAACTTATGAGCACTCATGAGTGTTGTAGCCATTTGTCCAACACCTTAGACCTCTACAAGCCAACCCATGACAGTCTTAATTCATATCTACTTCCAACATATGACCGACTATGGATGGTTTGAATAACTTAGTTATTCCGGAAGAATAACCTAGTCTATTCGGGAAGTCAAAACATGCAAAATGAAACACAATAATAATTGAATCCAATATGGTATCAAAACCTATGAACATAAATAAAACACCTTTTATTTATCACCATATGATTACACATTATTCATTGTATACTGTTTTAGCTATCAACTTTATTCTTGAATTTAAAACAATAGTTGTCCCATGCTCCAAGCATGTACACTATGTTTTTCTAAACACTAGTCATGCCACACACCAAGTATGCATACTATGTTTGTCTATGATCTTTACTTTGTGAACTAGATCAATTGAACATAACTTCAATGATTCTCTTTTCACACTCCCAAATCCTTACTGCAAATGCAAGAATTCCAAATTCATGCCATTTACTAAAATCTGTTAGATTCTAAACTTATATGTATTGATCGTCTTGAAATGATTATGCACAAAGTCAGAAAGACTTGACAACAATCATTACAGACCATTCCAAAGGAAATCAGCTCCTTGGGAACATCCTTCTTGCATTAAGTTTCCTAATCTTAAACAACTTGAAAAATTCTAACTTTGAAACATTTCCAGATTCCATTTTGACTATTACTTCTGAACAAGAGTTGCCTCCTTACAGATTATGTCAATATGGTCCTTCCAGAATTATCACTATACTTCCGAATGTCCTTAAGCAACCAATCTTTGGTAAACCTTAGATTGTCCTCGACAACTGTTTAATCCTTTTAGTCATATCCAGTTCTAAACCTTTTCCCTTCTTAATGCCCTAGGCATTTGGAAAATTTTAGAAAGGATGAATATAGCACATGTAATCGATCCTATATCTGAAGCACATGGGACACGATTCATGATGTCTCACATAAAGACTAAACCAGTCTTTTGCTATAACATTTCCATTTCTACTTGCCAAGTTCTCATAATTCAGATTATGAAAAGGGATGCCGTAATCATAATCGAATTTTAGAACGCAAATAATGGACCCATATACAGAATTTCCTTATGTTGAGCCATTCCAACATGAAATTCATATATATCCTTGACTAAATGATTAAAACCTCACGATCTAAGCTTATAGATTTGAGATGAAGTATAATTTCCTCTCCCTTAATTATAGCAAAACAACTTTTTCCCAATTGAAACCTTTTGTTTTCTATAATTAACATTGCTAACTTGCAATACGTATCATAATTATCATGCTCCCACTAACATGATGATTATTAGCATAACACTTATGCTCCCACTAGCTTTGACATGTACCCAGAAATCAACTGAACTTCTATAATTCAATACTTTACTGACTTTCTTACCAAAGTTCAGATTTCTGATACTGGATTGTTTTGATAGAACTTTATCAAAATCATACACCTTCCCTTAGATAGCACACTTGTGTGTCTAAACAATTATGAAGAGGGATGTCGTAATCATAATGGTTAGACC